TTCCTCTTTCCTTTCCTCCTCTCTTCTCTTTTCTCCTCTCCTCTCCTCTTTTCTCTTCTCTTCCTCTCCTCCTCTCTCTCCCTCTCCCTCTCTTTCTCTTTCTCATGTCATAGAAGAAAATTAAATACAAAGGCAGAGAGACAGGGTACTGTGCTTGGAGTAGCATTGTGATGCATATCCTATGGGTCCACTTCATGTCCTGTAGGTCTGCTGTCCAGGCACTATTCTGTGCTTATAATAAAGATGTTATGAAGCCCAATGGGGGAGGGTGGGTCGGGGCTGAGCAAGATGGAAGTAGAGTGTATGGGAACTAGAGGATTTGGCAAAGTTTTCAGGCCATGTTGGGGTTCAAGCTCAGTGACATATGGTCTGTGTAGGCATTGATAATGATTAAACATCAAAATTCCATTGCTGCTCAAGAGTTCTATAACCAAGGAAAGCCACTTTTCTTCTCTGAATTTCAGTTTACTTCTTTGTGAATGAGAGAGCAAGACCGCATGGTATCAATGGCCAAATCTCCCTTGATTCTATGATTTTACTACGTTGGTGAAGAAACTTCCTGCTATATGGTGTTATGTCAGCTCAAGTTTCCCATCTTGAAAAGTTAAACTGTTGAGATTTCTGATTACACTTTGTTAGGGAGACTCATTAAAATAAAATTCTAAACCTCTGTACTTGACCTACCCAGGAGTTCCTGTGTAGGGGGAAATGTCATTCATTACAAAAAAGCAAAAAAATCAATTTATGTCTGGTTGAATGAAAGTCAGGTCAGGCACAGAACCTCAGAAAAGGCTCAAGGAAGCTCTGGCCTCCCAAGATTGTCTTTCAGGGGAGGAGAGAAGGTCTTGCAGGCAACACCCTCTCCTCTCAAGAGAATTGGAGGAAATTGTTTATAGTTCTTCCTAGTTCTGTCACTAAGGTTCTCCTAGGCACTCCCCGGGTGGTGGAGTGACCCCAAAAGGGTTCTTTGAGACTTCTGATTGGTGTATGTGTCCAGGGGAGGCAAAAGAAAGGTGTGGGTTTGCTTTGCCCAAACTACACTTTGCATGTGTCCATCCTGCATGCTGAAACATGTGGAAACAACTGACCTAGCTGTCTAGTGCCAGCAGCAAAGCAGGACAGTTGCCTGGACCACTTGCCCTCCAGAGACAATGGTTGTTGGTTCTGTGGAGCACGTTAACCCTTTTGGTTTTCCTTCCCTTCTGGGTTCCTGTCAAGGTTACTAAGTCACCATTTCAGGAACCAGTACATAGAGGACAACAACATGGAGATGAGCACATTTAACGTATCTAGTCACCTTCCTTCTAGGGGACTCAGGGCCACCGAGGGAGTTGGCTCCAAGAATGACAGCCTGCAAGGGAGTGCTCCCATTTGGATCCCAATTCATAGCACCAGAACAGGATTGTGGGTCACTAAGGGGAGGACTGTGATGGATTGTTCTGGGAACTCAGTTTTTACTTTCCAGCTGGTTAGAGGGGCTCTTCAGCACAATCTTTGGGTATTAAATGAAGAGCTGGTCAAGGGCCTGAGAGAACACCTTCCCACACACCCTGAGGGCCCATGAACCAGCAGTCTCAGGGAAACGCTGCAGGTGTGATCCCCCAGAGCTGTTAACCTCCCTTTGGGGAGACCTAGTGACGGTAACTCAGCCTCAACTCCCTTCTCAAGTATTCCCCTACCCACACCCATGACTAGCCCCTGTTCTGGCTCTTTTGACCTTAGACAGGGCTTCTCAGCAGAGAGAGAATCTTCGGGAGTTGATGTTCATCTTGGTGACGCCAATGAGCTTGAGTGGAGTTGAGAGACTGAAGGAGGAGGCCAGAGGAGAGTCGCAGAAAAGGTCGGACAGCTCGTCCCGCTCCTCCAGCTCGTAGGTGGCGTCGTTGAGCATTCTCCTGTGCAGGTGGCAGGTCTGCTCAATCTTGAGCTTGTTGATGTCACTGCGCAGGCGCATGAGCTGTCTGGCCAACTGCTGGTCCTGCAGCCGCATCTCTGTCTAGAAGCAAAAAGTGGAGAGAGATATCAGCACAGAGTGGGGTGGGGGACCTGACAAACAGGAACTCATTAAAAGGAAGTCTAATTGATGATCTTGGATTATTAAGCAGTCTGTACAGATATATAAGCACTTTACCAGCATACAGAGTTGAAAAGATCCACAAGTAGCAACATGATGAATTAGAATACACTTGCAAATCTACAGTTGGTACTATATGTGATACTATGTCCAACCATTCTTTAATTTGATCCAGACTCATGTTGCCCAATGTGTGTCAAAGTAGAGCTGTCCTCCATGGGACTTTCCGTGACTGATTTCTTAGAAGTAGATTGTAAGGCTTTTCTGAGCCCCAAACTTTTAATTGCTAGGAGTTAACAGCCTAACATGTTAATTACATTGCCCAAGGATTTCGTACTATGCCTAAACCCTGTGACAGAAAAGCATGACAGTCCTAACTTTGAAATTACTTTAAAAATACCCAGAACAGTACATCAACAAAGAACTGCCAGGAATTTAGGCTGCATTTAGAAGAGAATGTGGCACCCGGGATATCACTGCTGATGTCTAATGGGCCTTGACTGAAAGCAGAGAGTATCAGAAAAATATCTACCTGTATTTTATTGATTATGCAAAGACATTTAACTATGTGGATCATAACAAACTGGCTACCATTGACAGGTATGAGAATTCCAGAACATTTAATTATGTTTATATGAAATCTATACCTAGATCAAGAAGCTGCTGTCTGAAAAGAGCAAGGGAACACTGCATGGTTAAAAAAGTCAAGAAAGATGTGCATCAGGGCTGTTTCTTCCATACTAATTCAATCTGTATGCTGAGGAAATGATTCAAGAAGCTGGACATTATGAAGAAGAATGTGGCACCAGAATCAGAGGAAAACTCATCAACAGCCTGTATTATGTAGATGTCATAACTTTGCTTGCTGAAAGTGAGGGGGACTTGAAACATTGCAGAGGATCAAAGACTATAGCTTTCAGTATGGATTACATCTCAACATCAGAAATATAAAACACCATTGGGGCAATAAACAACATCATGATATATGGAGAAAGGATTGAAGTTGTCAATGATTTCATCTTGCTTGGATTCACAATTAATACCCTTATGAAATCAAAAGATGTATGGCAGTAGGAAAATCTGCTCTGAAGGACCTCTTCAAAGCATTAAGAAGCAATAACATCAGTTTAAAAACTAAGGTGTACCGAATTCAAGGCATGTTTTTTTAAATTACTTCCCATGCATCTAAAAGTTGACAATGACTAAAGATGACAGAAGGTGAATTTATGCCTTTGAGCTGCGGTGTCAGAGAAGAGTATTGAATATGATATGGACTGCCAGAAGAGCAAACAAATCTTTCCTGGAGAAAGTGCAACTAGGATATACTCCTTGGAGGCAAGCATGGCAAAGCTCTAATTCACTTACTTTGGGCGTTTATTTAGGAGGGGCCAGTCCTTGGAAAAGGGCATCATGATGGGAAAAGTAGAGAGTCAGGGGAAAGAGGAAGACCCTCAACAAAATGGATTAATACAATGACTATAAAAATGGGCTCCAGTTTATCAGAGATGACGAGGATGGCTCAGGATAGGGCAGTTTCACATCCACTGTTCGATGGGGTTTCTGTGAATCAGAGTTGACTTGATGGCACCGCTCAACAACTCCTTAGAGATATTTTCAATTTAGTCTCATTGTTAGAGATGGAGTGAAAAGTGAAAGGAACGCATGGAAATAGTAATTGCTAAATTCAAGAGCACAGTTAATTCTAGGTAGACAGGAGAGTATGTGATTGTGGAAGGTATCTATAAGGACTCAACTCTATCAGTCATATTTTTTTATCTTATGCTTAGTCATTCGTGTGTCCTTAAACATTTTAGAATATCTGAATATTTCTTTATAGTTAAACACAAAATATGCTAATATTTCTTGAATTTTTTTTTCTGAATCAAGCACTGTTCTAAACTCTTCATATATCTTGTTGTTTTGTGCCATCCAGTGAGAACCAACTCATAGCTGACCCTCCAGCGAGTTTTCAAAGGGTATAAATCACACGGGAGATGACTGCCTCTCTTTCACTGAGAAGCTGATGGGTTCAAACTGCCTGCCTTTGGGTTGGCGGCTCAACTCTTTACCCACGAGGCCACCAGACTTCACCTGTGTAACATAATATTTCACCTCTTTTACAACCTTGTGAAGTAATACTGCCACCAACATCTACATTTTATAAATGAAGATGTTGAGGAACAGCAAAGACAGTCACTTGTGTCCAATCAAGGATGGGATTAGGAGTCTAGTCAGTGTCCAAACTGCTGACAACAAAGTCTCTTAAAGTATTATTCAACTGTAGAAGTTGGAGTTAGTTGTCTGATATTTTTAGCACATTTATGTTTTCCTACCTGAGGAAGAGAGATAATGCTTCAGTTAGCCTAACATTTACAGTTTCCAGAATCCATTTACATCTTTAACCTTGTTGGAATGTCACTACAATTCCAGGGGCACCAACAGGGCAGTGTGGTTAAGTATTTTACACATTAGGAAACTAGAACTCAGAGAGTTCCAGTGTGCCCTCAGGGGCTTTCTCATAGTCAAATGCAGTCAAGGTCAAAAAAGTGAAACTGGATTACAGTTTACATTTGTAAACTGTGGGTAAACTAGAGTGATAACTCGAAGAGGATAAATTAAGGTGAAGGACTTGGTAACAACCCAATATTCCTTTTTTTTTCATAGTAGCATTATTTTTTTTTAATTATTAAATTTTATTAGTTTTAATGAACATTTACAGGGATTTTGGGTTTTCATTCCTTCATTGCAAAACAAGCTAGAATGTATTGCTTGGAAATCTATTTAATGGCCAAACTGGGATTAATTCTCATAGCCCCCAATTCATTAGTTTACTGCTTAATTAAAAATTTCTTTTCAATCAGAAACTGGATTGACCTAGAATGGAATCAAATTAATAAGGTTCACCAATTAATTATGGAGAACCTAACCATGCCTGCAACTGTGCTGGATGCTGCCTAAATTCTTCTGAAGGAGAAAGCTATCAGACCTGATTAAAAGGTGGCCCCAGCTCATGTTCACTGCCTCCGCGTTCTGGAGACCATTGCTTGCATTTCTTTTTAGAATATTCTATAATTTGAACATCATTCACTGCCATCAAGTTGGTTCTGACTCATCTCAGCCCTTTATCAGGTTTTTGAGGTTACCAATCTTTATGAGAGGAGACTGCCCATCTTTCTCTCTCCAAGTTGGATTCACACTTCTCATCTTTTTACATGCTACACCAGTGGGACTCTGAAAAGGTAGCACGTCCTCTGGTTTTTAGATTTGAACTCTGACCTCAGGAGTTAGATCTCTGACTAAAAAAGATCATTTCAAAGTTAGAAAACTTCAGATTTGAGCTGATGCTGAGGGCTATGTGTGAGATGGTGTCTGCCAGTGGGTACATGGGGATGGGAGGTGGGGCTATTTTTCTGTGACTGTTCACACTGTTGTTGAGTCAATTCTAAGTTACAGTAACTGCAGGGGACAGAGCAGACCTGCTTCATAGGGTTTCCAAGGTTGTAACTTTACAAAAGCAGACTGCTCAAAACCCATCATAGTGGGAAAGAGGGATATAGGTATGTGCTCAGTTTTCTTGTACTGAGCAAAGGCAACCTCTGTGTAGTCAGCTCACATTTTCATTTACACTCAACTGTATGTAAGGGAAAGAAGGGAAATGAAACCACAGTTTTATTAAGGATAGGGATTCCAGTCATCCTCTGGTTCATGCTATGAATGAGCACAAAAGAAGGTGGTGCGTCTGCTGGTTCCTGAGCACACATTGGTTCTGAGGGTGTCTCTTACCATGAACTTCTCACCTTAGGACTTGCTATTGGAGGCAAAGATGGTGAAGCTTCATCTTGGTCGTATTGCTAGGAGAGGCTATTCTTTGGAGTGGGACATCATGGTTGGAAAGGTAAGTGAAAGAGAGCACGACCCTCAGTCAGATGGACGGATACAGTGACTAGAGGAAAGTATTCAAGTGTGTCAGAGATTGTGAGGATGGGACAGCATAGGACAGGGCTCAGATCCATTTTTCATAGAGTTGCTATGGTCTATAGTCAACCTGAGGACATGTAACAACACCACCAGCAACAACATGGGCTCTAATATCTTACTATTCAAGAATATATAGTTTGTCATGATTCCATGAAGGCAAATCAACTGCTCAACCAAAGAAACATCATGTTTTCCAGGAAAGAACCAGGGAAAACTGGCCGTTGGACATGCCATCACCTATGCTTTTACCAAAGGTAACTTTAATGCCTTCAACATTAATTTGAACCCCATAGCCTTTCCAAGTCACCTGAGAAAAATGTGCAAGTTTAAGAGGCTTCAATTTCTTTTTCATGAAAAAGCTTTTAAAAATTAACATACGCCTTAACTGGTCCTGTTCAGAAGTCAGAAGCATGGCAGTTGCCAAGAAAGGAGCAGAGGGTGAGGACGCAAAGAGGACAGAGCCTAGACTAGGTTAAGGAACTCCTTCTCTCTCTCTTTCCCTCCCTCCCTTCCTCCCTTCTTTCCTTCCTTCCTCTTTTATCTCTTCCTCTCTTCCCTCCCTCCCTCCCACTCCCTCCCTCTCTTTTTCCTTCTCTCTCTCTCCTTCCATCCCTCCCCTCTCCAGACATACTTAGACGTATGTGCTCTTAGAAGTACTTTATATACCCTAACCCCACATGATTTACTGCCTCCGAAAACCCATTGGAAGGTCAGGTTTCACACACACACACACACACACACACACACACACACACACACACACTTCCATAGCATTTTTCTAACAACTTTAGCTTGCAGCCATTATGTTTATCTGTTTTATATGAGAATACTGACCAAGATAATTTAGGGCCTTGCTTAGGATCAATTAATTGGCTTGTCGATGCTGGCACTCAGACCTCACCTAGGTCAGTGTAGCCCAGAACACTTTAAGGCTCCTGTACACC